TACTTCGAACCTGCCGGCTAAACATCAGCCTCCACGTCCTCATAACTCTCATTTTTCCCTAAGCCCAACATCGTCAAAAGTGACTTGCCAGCTCGAGCTTGCTTTTATCACTACGACACCAGTTAATCCCTAATATTGAACAAAAGTTTATACCGATTCTCTCTTGTGGTTGTTTTATTGTATTATTATTCTTTTTAATGTTGTTTTTTTCCATAAAACAGTTTCAAGCCTGGCGACATTTTTTGTTCTCCTTGTTTTTCGTGAGCTTTGCTCACTCATAACCGAAGAGAGTCTACGTGTTACAGTTTGCTTCTCTGTCTTCCTCTAGCCCCTTTTGTCATTGTCTTCTGCTTTCGGTTCTTTTCTCTTCTCTTCTCTTCTCCCATCACGCTACCTCTGTTCATCAAAACATTCCCAGTTGCATTTACCATTTTTCACCATATTTGCAGATTGTTTTTCTGCAATCTCTTACCAGGAGGATAACTTACCCTGCAGCATGCATACCACTTTGGTCCAGAGGACTAATCAGACGGTTTTCGTAGTGGGAACATTCCACCTCTTTCTCTTTACTCTTTCTCCTCGGTCTAGTGCGTACACTCACACATACACACACCCACATACACACGCATATATATATATATATATATATATATACACATACGGACATGTCTCTGGCCTTCTTCTCGTCCTACTTCTGACGCTTCTTGCATTTATCTCGCATGCAGAACGAACTTTGCCACATAACATCCGTGGTCTGCAGATCATTTCGGCCATCCAAGGCTTCACGAGACTCTGCAGACCCACTTGTGCTACCATGACATTCAAGCTTGCCCACACATACACACACACAGACACACAAACATACAAACACGTTCATTCGTAGATTGTTGATCGAACAATTGCTGCTAATTTGTTGCTCTTCGGCCGCGAAACTTTGCTACTACTCTTTTATTTGCTCCTCCGTCTCTCTATCACCTCCGGCCTTCTTGTGAGCCGACAGTTCAACTACTTGCCTGCGTAGCTCGACATGGTCGGTCACGTCCTCGTGACGAGTTATGGTTCGAGAGGGCAAGAGATCAGTCGGTCGGCGACTCATCATCACCATCACTCCTTCACAGCTGAGCCTATGCGAGCCGGTCGGCCGACTCTACCGAGGCTATCGGTCCTTGTCCTCATTCTGCGACCCACTTTTTCGCTTCAAGCCCCTCTCATCAACTGCTCTTCTGCCCATTTTATTCCTCCATTTTCACGTCGCCTATTGAACCAGTTGAGAGGTGTCTTACTCTGCGGGCTTGAAAGCTTGTCCCCCTGGCCACTAGCCTTCTTTGCAAACTTTCGCATGTA